TTATTATTATTATTATTATTATTATTAGGATTGCCATGAACAATAACAACCTATTATTATCCACCTCTAAACTGGACTCTTTATTTATTTATTATTCATCCCAGAACTTTCATCGTTAATGAAAAATACATCATTGCGTCGGCGTCGATCTCACGAGGTGTGCTATTATTTARCTCTAAATAACGCTCTTTAGAGTATCTCATGAACCACTGATTTTAACTTTATAAAACTCTAACACAGTCATCATTGGACAGTCCTCTGTCACTGTCCAACACATWYGTCCAACTCTGATACAAGATGGCTGTCCAAGCAACCCTGGATTACCATATAAGTGCWGGACATCAGCACATTTTACACATGCTGAATGAATATAATGTGTGAAATTAAGTGTGAAAAATCTTTAGAACTGATCCACTTTATTAAGTATTCAAGTCTTACAAATGACAAAACTAGTATAGAAAAATGTCTGTTAGCAAAATATTTCATGTACCAAAACACAAATTCAGCCAGAAAACACACAAAATGACTTATAAATCAGTCATTTCTTGACCTTTATAGATAATATTTGCTAAAGCAGTTGCTTCAATTGAAAACACAGACTTAATACATTTTTAGGATGGCCACTAAAAAAGTCTTATACAGCAACCCCTTATAGCAACATAGGACAAGTTTTACACAGCTGGCAATCCTCTCGTAGTTTCTCCAGGAACTATTCTAGTTATCATTATCATTATTATTATTATTATTATTATCATTATCATTATCATTATTATTATTATTATCATCAGACACATCGGGGCTGATGTGTTAGAGCTCAGATGTGTGACAGGGAGCGCCCTCAGCTACTACCACACCCGTCTTTAGCTCTGTATCTGTAGAACTGACCAMGTTAGAGACATTTCTGAGTTTACTAAGGTGCATCAGCTGTGGCGGCCATCTTGAATCAGATATATACTTTCAGACATGTATTAAAATCCATCCTGTGGTTCATGAAATATTTTACTAACAGATAAATAAGTGAAATCATGCACACACAGAGGGKTAATCTCTATGAATGTGTTGCAGGTCGCTAAAAAGCTGCTGTTTGTCTTTAGACTGGTGTTAACAGTTATTCTAAAAACAGCCAGGATTACATCAAAATCTAAATATTCTGAAATAAATGAATATTTTAAACACGAAAAGTCCTTTAAATGCTAATTTAGGGAAAAATATTCAACACAAATGTTTGAAATTTATGTGCACCCCACTTTAAATGAAATAAGCGTTTTTTAGTTTTGAAGAAATAAGAGCAGCTCAGAGAAGATGCATGTCTGTTCCTATGAGGTACTTAAGGGAGGATTTAGGGTAATATGAGGGCTAAAGATGTTAATGCTTTCCATTATAACTCTTAAAATGCCATTTTCTTTTGCATAAATGTGAGATATTTTTAACTTTAATTGCTTGGTGCTGTGAGCAGAGCCTTGACGACTGCCAGCATCAACGCTCCCCTGGGACAAGAGGAGGAAAATTAAAAAGCAACAGTGAAGGTAAGACAGCTAATGATGTAGCTGAAGGGTTTCTTTGCTTCATCCAAACCTCCATCCTGCTGAACGCTGCTCTCAAACCAACACTTCTGAGCTCTGAGGCCGGCAGAGACACAAAAACTGACCCCGCACTGAGCCTCGGAGGTGAATTTCTCTCCTCGCCTCATTTTTCAAGGACTGCAAACATAAACAACCAGACGCAGTTAAAGATGAAATACCAGCGAGCTGATGAACGAGCTTTGACCTCCCTGACCCCTCGTAAAGCCCGAGGAAGGTGGAGGTCAGGGTGGATGGATTTATAGTAGCCACCGGTAACAGTTTCTGCTTCCCGCCGCTCYGCTGTCGTCCACAGAGTCACTGCCAGATATCGATCCTGATCTCTGACATCAGGGCGAGGAAGCAGGAACTCTGCAAAATCTCTCCACAAATTTTAAAAACTTAAAGGCTTTTGTAACTTTAGCAGTGTGTGGAACACTTGTAGTGGTTTCAGCACTACAAATGTCAGCAGAAATTACGTTATTAAAGCTAACTGTGTACAAATACCACAGTACTGCCACAGTACACTGAGTAAAACTCACTTCCAGCTCAAAACAAAGGTTTGAAAACCAGCTTGAAGCAACATCATCTAAGTCCTGAAAATCATTCACTTCAAGAAGCAACTGACAGACTTATACAATGAATGAACCATTCAACCAACCAACCATCCATCCCACCAATTAACCAATAAAACAAACCATCCAATAAACCATGCAACAAACCATCCAATAAATCAACCAACCAACCAACAACCATCCAATAAACCAATCATCAAACTAGCCAACCAACAACCATCTATCCCACAAATAAACCAGTAAAACATACCATCCAATAAACCAACCAATAAACCAACCATCAAACTAACCAACCAAAAAAACCAACCAACAACCATCTATCCCACAAATTAACCAGTAAAACAAACCATCCAATAAACCAACCAATAAACCAACCATCAAACTAGCCAACCAACAACCATCTATCCCACCAATTAACCAATAAAACAAACCATCCAATAAACCAACCATCAAACTAACCAACCAACAAACCATCCAATAAACCAACCAACCAACAACCGTCTAATAAACCAACAAACTAACCAACCAACAACCATCTAATAAACCAACCAACAATCAAAACAAACAAACCAGGAAATAAACAATCAAATACACCAATGAATTAGCCAACCAATGAAACATCCCAAAAATGAACCAGCTATTCATTTCCTTTATCCAGCCTCACAGAAGTTGGTTTCAGTCACTTGTTTCAACGTTTGCTTTTTCTTCTCCTGATGCATGTCTCATGACCAACAGGTGATGATTGGAATGCAGATTGACTAACATATCTTTGTGACTACATGGACCCTCATCTCATGTGGGCTTATTCATGAATCTYTCACTACTGTACAACCGCTACAAGCAACCTACAACACACAGCAGGTCTGTTCACTCAACCTTTCTGCCATTTATTCACAGAACATAATTCTTTTCATGTTGTTCATAAACCACCAATCAAAGCAGCTGGGGTCAGGGTACAGTGACAAAAGAAGACATGAAGTATCAAAAATAACATAATTACCAGGTCTTTTAAAGTCTCAGGGAGTAACTAAGCAACGTAACGTTTACAGAAATGGTTTTTATTTCTAAAGGAAGAGGAATTTTATAAAAATAAAGCAGGAAAAATTAAATTGAATTATGTTAAAAATTTGATTTTACCATCCTTAACAGTACATTTGCTTCATTTAGTCCAGGAGAAGAAAGATTACCACTTCTTAGATAAACTGCAGCTGAGATTAGAGCTTCAGTTATTATAACAGCAGTAAAGATTAAAGTCATGTGTATTAATATGAAGTTACTTTAGATCAAATCTGTCTGTAAAGTCTGATACTGAGGTTTTTCTGACGTCAGACTCCACCTGTCGTGTTTCTGCAAACAACACCTCTATGTTTTAATCTCTCCCTTGCATGAAGATGATTATTTTCCCCAGTTTACAGAAAGGCTGATTGATGGGGAGATAGTGGATCTAATTTAATTTTTCTACTCAGGCTGATCTGATAAACAGGAGGCAGAACTAACTAACAGTAAATCAGCCTCTCGCCACAACACGACCAGTCATTAAAGCAAGTTTAGACATGACTGAGCACAGTGATTAAAGAAAACAAGCCAGACTCCTCCATGATCCAATAATGCCCTGAATAAKACTACAAACCCGTACAGAACCGGGCCGGGGTCTCGAGGGGGTCGGCGCGTTGTTATGGCACCGAGCCGAGTAATGAATGCAACAGTAGCTCTGCTTCCCTGACACTCAGACTCGGATGAAAAGACAAAGATGTGGGCTTGTTACCGTTCATGCTGCTCCTGTCAATCAGGTTGGTGTCGGACGGCCAGTAGGCATGTTCTCCTCTCTGACCTGCAGGGAGACAGGAAACCAGAGCAGTGAGACAGAAACCAGAGCAGTGAGACAGAAACCAGAGCAGTGAGACAGAAACCAGAGCAGTGAGACAGAAACCAGAGCTGTGAGACAGAAACCAGAGCAGTGAGACAGAAACCAGAGCAGTGAGACAGAAACCAGAGCAGAACAGTTTAAATGATGGAATAATCATCACTCAGATGGATTCGTGGCTCGTAGGAGATAAATAAGTTTGTTGAAGTGAGTAGTTCATTTAGTTCAGCTCTAACTTTATCCTCCTGCCCCACAACACTGGAGCAGAACTGGAGACAAGTAATGAGTTTGTTTCTTGGAAAACCTTTGCAGATTAAAAAAATATCGATTACAGTTCAGGAAAGAAAGAAAGAACTCGAGCAGCTGCTTCGTTTGAGCTTTTAGAACAGAACTGAAACAAAACTCATGAGGTTTGATTTTGTGTTTCAGATATCCATCCATCATCCATCCATCTTCTTACCCGGGGTCAGGTCTCGGGGGCAGCAGCCTCAGCAGAGACCCAGACCTCCCTCTCTCCAG